CACACTCTCTCTCTCTCTCTCTCTCTCTCTCTCTCTCTCTCTCTCTCGCGGGCGAGATATCGATCTGTTTTTCGCGAAATACGTTGTGGGCACATAAATCCGTATAGCACGGATAGCACGCTTTATGAAACTGGATGGACCGTGTACACGCAGCATCGTAATTTATTGTCTGTTAAATCGCTTCGTTCGCCTTAATGATGCCCGATGGCGTGGGAAAGTCGTTTTACGAGCCGCGACATGCGTACATTCGCCGTCTTTTATCACGCTTATCCGGCGTTTTAGTCAAGGAAGTCGCGATGGCCACGCGACCGTCAACTGGACCGGTGGCGTATGTTCATTCATCTCAGATTTATGCGTCACAATTTCAACGACAAGTTCTGTTTTGTCCCCACGAAGATCATGTACGAAATTATGATACAAGTCGCGTGCCCGATTACGCTTAGATCGATTTCATTGTTTTCATTCCCGAGGCAAATTTCGCGATGCGAGACGCATATTTTCTAAGGAGAGATCCCTCATTTGCCTGTTTCAGGAATAATGAAGAGAGAAGCCGAGGCTGGCGCTATGACAGGTTCCGGGGGTCCAACAAGTCCCCACAAGCGCTATCGACAGGGTGACGATGAGCTTCGTCTTCTCATCCCGAGTAAGGTGAGTGTCGTATCGATCGATATGCTTGCGGTATTGCGAAATTGGCGTGCATAACTCACTGTAATTCACGTCAGATTTCAGGCTGAAATTCTATCTGTAATTTGATACGTCGCGTACTTTGATCGATATATTTTAACATATATTTTCTTTACGTATGTACACGTTCTGATTCCGCAAATATTTTACATATTAACAGAATTTTGGCCTGAATTGACAAAAATAACGCGAATCCAAGTGAGCCTTAAAAGACGGACAACACGACTCGAGAATAAAATCGCATTTGCCTTTTCCATCTATTTTCGCGGACGCTATATCGCTTTGCCCTGGCGTCTGATTAACGTTCTTTGTTTAAAATGAAAACGGATTTGTCCCGGATCGGATATTCGTCGATGATTGGCAATATCTCCGTCTCTTTGACGAACGTGTAAATATGCGTTTCGGTGCACAATGTGGATAGGCGGGTCGGACGCGCTTCCCACGTGCTTCGCCACTAGGTCACTGTATTTTTCAGTCACGCGTGCTCGGCCTAGCTCTTTTCGCCGTTGCATTCCGCGCGAATGGGAGTGCGATAAAGCGAGTTCCCATACGCGCGGCACGAAACCACCTCCGTCCGTTTTCATCGTTCGGAAACAGTCGGTTCTCTTCCGGTCATTGTCACCACGCTCGGCAGATCGTTATCGGTTTCTCTCTCGGCTGCTTTCTTCCCCCGCGCGGGAAACACTTCAACTCTTCTGCGAATTTTCTACGAACGTCGAGATCTCGGGAGTTTCGGCGGATCGACGAAAAATGCCGTCGTCTCTGCCGGCCGTTCAGGGCAAGCCGCGCCTCTCTCTCGGCATCCAAGTTACCTTCGTGTTCCCTCTCTATCGCCGACATATCGCCAGACCGGATGTTTCTCGACTGGGCGGATATTTTCTTGCGCCACCATTTCCTCCGCGATACAATAAGACGCAGGAGGCGAACATCGCGATTACAGCCGCCGCCGCCCGCTTTCGAGGGCATCGGGAGAGAAGTAATATTGTGAATCGAGGTCTATCTGTACCTCTCCTTTCGCTCGGTAGTGATTGATTGTAGCATTGAGAATATCGAAGGGAGCAGTAAAGCACTCGTTTTCTTACGCTTCCTTTGTCCGACGTATTTTCGAAGGAGGATGTCGATGAAGATTCTATCGCGAAACATTTCTACAGACCGATCAAACCGACGAACGTATATTTTTTTTTCCCTACTTCGATACATATTTTCTTCGATAAATATACATCGATATTTTTGGACTTGATTCATCGGGCTTGGTGGCGTCCAACTTCGCGAGCTTCGCGACGCGAGACTGTCCAATTATCGATCAATATCATTCCGGCTCGTTGTTGCCTTTAGCATAATTCTGTAAACCGCTTGCGCCTCGCGCACGCTAATAAGCTTAATTGAATTGAATGATTAATCGAGGGAGCCGCGCAGATAGGCGCGCCGTCATCGTGCGCCGGCACGCGAACGTCCGAAAAAAGCCAACGTCGCGTGAAATGATACGGTACGGATAATGATCTGGTGCGCGTGCGCGTGAAGGAAGTCACGACTCGCGACTGCGTCTTCCTTAATCATCGCAGATCGCCAGCTGATGACGAACGAGGGAAAGAAAAAAAAAAAAAACTACGCAAATTTGAAATTCTCGCTCATCGCAGGGTGCTACGCGACTCGCGACGGTTTTGGCCTTAAAGCGGCACGTGACATCATCGCGAACGGCCCTGGAGCGGCGATCGCGCCTGTTAATTTCGTAATGGACGACAGCAGCGATGTATGCGCTACGTCGAGCTTTGAGCTTTGGTGTGCTCCGATGCGTGCGACGACTTAATCGATGATGCCGCGAGGACGCCTTATTGCGATCCGATCGGCCGAGTATGAACGAGCGTTCGTCGCGCTTGATCGCGATCGAATCTCCAGCCACGTAATCGACGATATCATCGCGTGCCGTCATTGGTACACGGCGTTGTGTCAGGGACGCCCCCACTGCCTATAAACGTTGCCGATAGGGTACCCCGACCTTCACGAGAAGTTGCTAAATCCGTCGCGTTCTTGGAGAAACTTGCCGAGAATTTCTGCGTGCGCGTCGACGAGATGTCTCGGGGAATTTCTTCCGATTTTTTTCTGTTTGCGAATTCATATTTTTCAAACGGAAGATGAACGCATCATCGATAATCCGCATTCCTGCGTTTCTAATATGTTCATAATATGCTCGCGCGGAGCGAAGTACGCCTTCTCGCCAAGGAGAAAGTATTAATTGCCAGACAATGTTAAATTATGACTTATTTAATTAACTGTCGGAACGCGATGGCTCTGTCGTAACAGGCGTAACCGGCTGTGATATGAAACATCCGCGGCGTAACGAATTCATAAAAATTCGTGGAATATGGAATTATAATCATGCAAGTTTTGCAAGAAACTACGAGCGGTCATGTCTTCTCGGCGGCATCGGACACGTGCCGGAAGTCCGTGTAGCGATGAAATTAAAAGCCTAACTAGAGGTGGACGTGAGGCTCCTTTTATCGTGGGCATCAGACGGGTCTGGAGAAAGCGAAATGTTGATGCACGGGACTCGTGACGACGGAAGAACGGAATTTCCGTATTTCATCTTCTTTGTGCTTCGAGGTGGATTATCTCACTTCCAGATTTTTCGCTTATTAAATATTTGCCGTAAATTAAATATCTGTCGAGGGCGTTACGCCCCTCGACGGAAGATACCTATTTAATTAGTACGTTACAAAGCTAAGAGAAGATTACCCGGATATACACCAGCCTTATAATCTACCTAATCCTCGGCGGAAATATAGATATCAAATATTTATAATTATCAACTTACCGTCACTTCCTTCGAGATCTGCGATTTCTCTTCGAAAATATCTTGGAGAGATTATTTTACCTTATAACCATTATTTATTCAAGCTAAACTTCTTTATCTCTCTGTTACAGGTTGCCGGTTCGATAATCGGCAAGGGTGGCCAGAACATCACAAAACTCAGAAGTCAGGTAAGCTTTTGCGAGCTTCGACTTGTACTTTCGTTGTAATTTCGTCCTGTCTTTGTCTATCGTCTCTCGTAAAGTTCCTCGCTGGGAGCAAGAACAAGAGAGATAGCGAAAGACAAGGATCGCACAAGCAATCAAGCGGAAGATTGTAAGAACAGCTTTGAAATCGTGTTCTAATGCACGCTTCTTTATTATCTTCTTTCTGTATTACAAAACGATGCATTTTTACAATCTTCTAATTGTACGTTTACGTTTAATTTTAATTATATATATATATATATATATATATATAATATATATATATATATATA